TTACTTTTGTTTTTGAGTATATTGCTAGTATTAGGTGTTATATGTGGGCTGTAGGTCTTGTTTTGATTTCTGTGATTAGTGAGTTCTTTGTAAGTCGATGTTTTGGGTTGTTGTGAGGTGTTGTTGGTTTTGTGTTGTGCTGTGTCATCTATGATATATCTAATTTGATGATGTTACCTGTTGTGAGTGTGGCATATAGTGGATCAATAATGTAGATCACCATGGCATGTTTAGTTAATTTGTGCCACGCGTCTGTTGTATACTACGAAGAGCTATAAAAAATAGTATTTACAAATAGTATACTGAGAATTATCTGAAGAAATACTTATGACATGCTTCGTGAGCACGCATCTATGTACTTTTATTTTTGTAATTGACTTGAGTGATAATTAATTGGTTTTTTAATCATTAAACAACTAAACTTACGTTCAGTATGTTTTTGGTTGTGTATTTCGTTTATTTTAAGGTTGATTGTGTTTATCCACTTTTTCACTTTGAAGTATCGTTTTAGTCATTGAGAGAATGCGACTGGTTCATGACCCGTAGTGCTAGTTATTGGGGTTTTGGTTCTTATATTGGCATTATGTACTTCTGCTTACATGATTAGTACAGCCTCATTCAGCGAGGCGTACGCTTGGCACTTAGTGCGCGTATGAGGTTGTGGATTATTGCGCTGATGAAAGCAAAGACTGAGAGTGTCTTTAAGTTTTGCAGAGCTTGTATACATATTATATTGACGTTCATTGTACTAATTCAAAATGAATGCTATTCTTTTAATATTCTCTTTTTAGATTCGTCAGTGTGTCGAGTGCGGAGGTGTGGTGAGGAATGCCTGCAGGTTATTTAGAGACGCTGCTGCAAACATAGCTGCAAGTCAGTTCCAGTCAGTTCGAGATGGACTATTGCCACTATTGTGCGATGGAGTGGATTGAGTTTGGTGTAGTGGGTGATGATCATCACTTATGGAAAATTTTTAGAGTTCCTTGGGTAAGGTTGAGAGCAGCATATATGATTTGTTGGATATTTGATGAGCTGTGAATTTGTTTGAACTAAGATAGAATTGTTGTTGTATTGTTTAATATTGCTATTGTGTTAATAATTTTTTTGAGCCAGGTGAAAGCTGTTTTGGTCCTCTGCTGACTAGATGTATCAAAGGGGGGGGGGCCTCTCCTGCGAGTGAGGCGCCACCCGTGTTTAGGGCTGGATGAAAGTAGGTAAGGTGATGGACATAACTGAGGTCAGACTTTTAATTTGTTTGAGTTCCATCTGAGTTTGTCTTTTGTTTCAGGTCTGATAAACCAGCGCAGTTCCTATTTCCGCACTGTTGTTTTTTGACCAACTTTTTTCCGATAGTTTGTACTGCAGATTGTTGGGGTCGCTTAAGAAAATACTGCCATTCACGAGTTAAGTTCGAGACCTGCTTCCGAGTTCTTTAAAAAATAATAGTGTTTAGATCAATGCCTGATCTTGGTGGAAATCCAATAGTTGAGCTCTCTAATATGTCGCACCTAGACATATAGAGGAAGGGTACTGATGGACTATTTTCTTTTCTTTTTTGGAGCTTGTGTTTTGAATTTATTACAACTCATCATTTTTGCTTTATCTATATTATTTTCAGGAAGAAGAGCAGCAGCGGTGAGGTCTCAATCAGTCTCGGTTGAATGGATTTTTGGGTGCAGACTATGCAGCGATGTGGGTTGAGGCCAACAACAACTGTTTCTTCTGCCAAGTGGACCTGCCTGATGTTCTGTCCATGAGAGAACCAGGCTGAGGCTGTCTGCAGTATGGGAGTTGTGGAAAGATGAAGTGGAAATTATGAAAAGAGTCTAATCCCTGGAGCCCTTCAAATTTACTTCACACCACTGAGGACATGTGGATATTCTGTGAGGAAATAATGGACAAAAGAAATAATTTGGCCTATTGTGAATATCACACAGATGACTGAGTTTATGTTCAAGATTAAATAGCTACAGAACATTTGATCATGTTGTGTGACTTGGTGTGTTTTTTTTGTTCTCATTGATCACTTAATAATTCACTTGGATTATACTGTAGATATCAAGATTTAGGGTATTATCTATTGGTACTTGGTTTTCCAGCAGCACAAGAACATAATTTGGCATAGACAATAGAACCAAACAATGAGTCAAGGTTTATGTGGGTTAAGAAGAAGTCAAACAATACAGAGATAATGACAACAAGAAGAAAAGAGAATGAAGAAAAAGATAAACTGATAGAGAAAGAGCAGTGCAATAAAGTCAAAGTTAAATGATAATGAAAAGGCAGTGAAGTACTGTATATACTGTATAGTACACAATAAAATGTATAGGCCTATGACATCTTATGAGATGTTGGCTTATGAATGAGTAATAACTTAAAAGAAAATGTGTGCACTGACCAATGTTATTCCTGCCCTACATTGTTTTCATTGATCAACTATTTGACCTTCTCTTTTCAAGATCCTCAGCTTCATAGTAGGCTACAAAGACAACTGAGCCCCGAGTCATATCACCCACCGTTTGTTTTTCATAATGACTAAGTTGTAAAGTTACGCAGTACAGTGTATATTAGTCTACATATATGGCAATCATTAATGAGAAGTGTTTTGAAAAAGACAAAGGCTACATGATTGAACATGAACATGATTGTCCAAAACAAAAGCTTTATTTTTTTCTTTGAATTAATACAAGTTATGGATGTCTTTTTGTCCTAGATTTGGACAGAATAAATCAAAATGCCCACGTTGGGGCTCATGCACAACATAAAACGAACACACAGAACAAAAATGACAAAACAAAAGTTTACTATATAAATAAAAACGATATATACTATAGACAAGGAATTGATAGATTTTACGTCATATTGTTTACTAATTAATGCATTTGTGAGGAAAGCGATTCAACCGGAAGTGCATTCCCGATTTTATTTTGAAATGTATCCCGTGCATTTCCTGTCCTGACAGTGGAGGTGTACTGACAGTGGAGCCTGCACCGGAAGCGACCTCACAGTGGAGGTCTGCAGCCAGGACCTCTTGGGGTTTATTTCTTTGCTCTGCGGTCAGCCCCCCCGGTGTAGCTGTATATATATAAGCGGCTAACTTATTTTGAGTCCTGAAGTGGCTGACAGCCAGCTGTTGTTGGTCGCTGCAGTGTGGCTTTTATGCGGTCTCGGTTTTACCAGAATTGAAGTGTTCCTCAGTGAAAGCTGCACTAGCATTGATAGAATACACACAAACCACAGTCCCGGAAGTCCCGTTGCACACGGTTCTTCGGGGGTTCCCGGTACTAGCTGCTTCCTAACTGGCTAGCTAGCTAGATAACGTCAGTTTCTTTGTTACCACTTTATAAACTAATAACTGAACTGCTGTATCCAAAACTTAATAAAACCATGTGATAGCACGCGTTATCATGCTTTTGACGTTGGTTATCTTCGGTAAGTAAGTTAAGCTAGTTAACGTTACTTAACGGTAAACTAACCTAAACTGAAATTAGCATAACTGGCGTTAGCTA